ATTGCATTAAATTGTTTACCGAATTATTTATGCTAAAATTTATGAATTTTCTAGATATACAGTTAATGGTAGAATCATGGGTATTACTCGTACGTATACATAATCTTTAAACTAATCTGTCATATTTGTAAGTCACGTTCTTATGCATTTGATACGTTTTATGTACGTACGTACGTAAGTACCTTACAAGTAAGGTACAGCAAGTCCCTAAAACAGACACTATATTTTAATGATACCGTGTATGTCACTTGCAAGTCCTACTTACGGAATTCGATTTCAATGATGCCATTTTAGCATTAAATAATGCTATCAGAAATTAAATTTCGTAAGGTTAAAATTAGTAAGAACGTAACTTACAAGTCTCATCTGGCATCGCCTATATCGTGTTTGACTTTTGTAAATAAATATTTTCGGTTTATTACCAATAATTTGAACCTTAAATTTAGATTTACATGTCAGTGGAACTGGAGGTGAGAATATTACTCTATTATAACAAACAATTTTTATTTTTATTTTTTTTGTCGTGCTTGTTCATTTAGTTTTATGATACTATATAATCAGGCGAACCAAAGTACGGTGTTATCAGCCAATATCCTGTCGTAATACCTTTAGATGAATTGAATCTTAATTCGTATAGCTCGGCTCGGTCATTTGAACAGTTCGAACTCGGCTATGCTAAATTGGGCCTTAAGAGTTATGATGTCATGATTGAATTAACCGCTGGCCGACGTACCGGTCTTCATAGATACACATTTCCTCCTTCTGATCATGCTCATGTCATCATTGACTTGACTCATATTCTAACACAAGGTTATGGGTTTGTGTTTGGTGTTTCTTTGAATATATCATACTATATACCGTATTCTCTATGTTTATTTATATTCATCTGATAATTTTATTAGTTCCCGTTGGATAAATGGTGCGATATATTCTGTTTCTCATAATCAAGTTAAAGGTATAGGTCAATATACTGGTGGTTGGAACAACGGTGGTCCCTATAAAGTCTATTTCTGCTCTCAATTTGACACAAATGCTACTGGATTTGCAACGTTCTGGGATGATTCCATTACTAATGGTTCGACACATCAAGTTGGTGGTAATGATTTCTCGTTAGGTGCAATCCTAACTTTCGATACGTATAAAAACCCTGTGATTCAATCTAGAGTCGGAATATCTTTTATTTCTGCTGATCAAGCTTGCAAAAGTGCTGAAACGGAAGCACCAGATTTTGATTTTGATGCTACACAACAAAGTGTTGTGGATGCATGGGAAAGAGAATTATCTAGAATTAGAGTTGATGGTGGATCAACCGATTTGCAAAAAATCTTTTACTCTAGTTTATACAGAACTATGATTATGCCAAGTGATCGGTAAATCTCTTATGTTTTTTCATGAATAATTATTTAGTTTTTATTCTAATTTATGACTTTATAGAACCGGTGAAAATCCAAATTGGTCATCTTTTGATTATTACGGTAATCCAATACCAAATTATGATGATTTTTATACTCTGGTGTGTACATTAAATCATTTATTGCTTTATGTATTAATTGTTAAATTTATAATATATATCTATATATATATATATATCTGATATATATTGATTTATATAAATTTATTTAAAATCAAATGTTCATTTATCACATCGATACAGTGGGATACATTTAGGTAATTACTATAATTGATAATCTTACGTTAATAAATTACAAGTTTTCTTAGTTGATTCGTTATTCTCTGATTAATTAGGACTACAAATCCACTTTTTACGCTTTTCCAACCAGAACGAGCTGTTGATATAGTTCGATCTCTTATTGATATATATGAACATGTTGGGTATATGCCTGATGGACGAAGTGGAATGTATAATGGTATAACACAGGGTGGTTCAAATGCAGACATGTTGGTGGTAAATATACTATATATCCATTTATAACTTAGGATATTTCATGAATCTTAACCTACATTTTGTTGTAGGCAGAATTATATCTGAAAAAATTAGGAATGTATACTATTGATTGGAAACTTGCATACGAGGCGCTATTGAAAGATGCAGAAGTCGATCCATGGGAGCAAGGTCTTTATGAAGGAAGGCTTTTTCTTACAAATTATAAAGAGCTTGGTTATATTCCTTCTCCTGTTCATCGAAGGACTGCTTACGCTATTAATCCATGCAGCAGAACTTTGGAATATTCGGCCAATGATTATTCAATTGCTCTTATGGCTAAAGGTAACTAAATCATAGCTTCATTATACTTCCATTATAGATGCCTATTTGTCCAGGTTAATACTAAATAAAAAATAAATAAATAAAATCTATAAAATCTGATATTTATGCACTATCAATAATAGCAATGAAAAAGTATGATGATTATATTAAATACAAAAAAAGAGCCAGAAATTGGGAAAATCTATGGTATTCCAACAAGACATATAGAGGTATATTAACAACAACAATTTAATAATTTATTTACTTTTATATACTATTCTATATTTATAAATTTTTGTTAATGTAAAAGATGTTAAGGGGTTTATCTTGCCCAGATTTCTAGATGGTACTTTTGATACTGAATGGGAAGTTTTGTATAAAAATGGTGGTGAAACACCATTTTATGAGGGCACGTCTTGGGAATATAGCCTTGATGTACCACATGGTAAAATACAAGTCAAAGATTTTTAGCATTCATTATGACTTAACTGTCTTTGATATTCTTATATTTACTTATATATTTCCTATTGAATAGATGTCAAAAGATTAATCTCTTTATCAGGTGGTCCGGATGCTTTCGACAAACGTCTTGACAAAACCTTTTCATCTGGTTACTTATCTTCATTTTACAATATCGGTAATGAACCTTCATTTTTCCATGCTTGTTTATACCATTTTATTGGAAAACAGTATAAATCAGTTGATATAATAAGAGATATTTTAAGAACACATTTTAATAGTGGCAGAGGTGGCATTCCAGGTAAGTTTAAGAATTAATGTATTAAATTTATTTATAATGATTATATATTGTATTCAATGCTTACATTATATTATATATGTTAGGAAATGATGATTCAGGCGCCATGGGAAGTTGGTTTGCTTTCCATGCAATGGGAATATTTCCACTGTGAGTTTTTATTTTTATTTTTTTGTTATTATTAATTATTTATTATTAATCCTTACTTTAAATTACATATTTTACATAAAGCGCTGGCCAAGATGTTTATCTCATCAATTCTCCACATTTCGATCAAACAATAATTGTTTTATCAATATTTCCTATGATAACATTTACTATAAAAGCAAATAATTTATCAAATGATAATATATATGTACAATCTGCAAAAATTAATGGTATAGAGTGGCATAAAACTTGGTTTAGACATAGTGATATTGCCAATGGTGCTATTTTAGAATTAGAAATGGGCAACGAAGTTAGTAAAACTTGGGGTATTGTTGATGCAAATGGAAGTCCTGTGCCATATCCACCTAGTTTAAGTGATGATATACAATAATTAAATAATTTAATAATGTTTTTTTGATCATTTAAAATTTTGAATATATTAAAAAATAATTTTTTTGTGTTTAATCAATATATTAAGACTAAAAAGAAAAGAGTAAAGAAAAAAATTCTTGACTTTATAACTTTTTTCAACATTAAAAATTAAATAAGTGGTTGCAAAACCAGAAATTTAATATGTTAAACTAACGTAATGATGCTGGTAATAAAATGACTTATGTATCAAGTTCTTAAAACGCAAGCTAAGAATGGGGACCTATAAAGCGGGTGGATATCAAGAATATGATTTATGCAGTATATAGATCAATTCATTAGATTTGCAAATTCTCCCCTTGACCGCATCATATTTTTATAGTTCGAAGAATAAATGCTATAAATATCTTTTAAAGAATTATCAGCAAGAATATCATTTGGAAATATAGCAGAGGCTAATTTTATAAGCACAATGTGAAGCGACTGTTTGGATTACTGGATTAACGCATCAAATTTATCTTGAAATCTAAAATAGAAGGTTGTAACTCCACCTGAATAATTCTTCATAATTTATCAATTTTTTCCAGAAATCTCGAGGCCTTTCATCTTATTAGCAATGCCAATGCAATATTCGTCAATTAGCCTTAACCTTTAATATTATAAATTTTATGTACTAACAAAGAACTTTAGCTATTCTAGAGATATGGGCTAGACGGCCTCCCAAAGTGCCAGTAACGTAATGAATGCCACAGACATTTCACCAATCATATAATTAAGTAAGCATAAATAATGATACAGTCGACTCTGGATATTCCGAACTGCATATTCTGGGAGGTTTTGTTCGGTATAGAATGAGTTCGTTATATAGTTTATTGTTTCTATACCGAAACAATTCGGTATACAGAGATAACCAATGAAATAATGTGTAGGATCACAACGGTCAGTACATCTTCGGAGATTCTTGCTCCAGTTTGGAATCTTTAGGAACCGGTATTATATACAAACAAATAGTTCGTTATATCGAAATATGTGTACATAGTCTTGGGCTGGTAAAAAAGAGTTCGGATGCGGCATATAAAAATTTACTATATAAGTTCGGTATAGACAGCCTAAATTCTTATAAAAAAATCGGTTCTGCCAAATCTTGTTCGTTATAACCCGAGTTCGGTATAAACAGGTTCGGTATATCCAGAGTCGACTATATACCCATTACCTATAATTTACGTCACTGGCACTTTGGGGCTGCCCTGGCTAATTCTCTGAGTGACGCCAAGGAAAAACCAGACTTCAGATTTTTATTATTTATCGCATTTAGCCCTGAAGACGACATATGGCGCGTAATTAAATTTACTTATGTATCATGTATGTCTCTAATCAGGGCTGAGTCTGCTTTTCTTGGCGGCACTCATATGCATACATTGTGTTCGATTATAAATGCTTGTATCATTTATGCTTTTACAAAATTTATCGCAAAAGAACTAAGGAAATTTTAACTTGATGGAAAATTTAGAATTGCAAACTCCATACAATGATATTATTTTACCGACCACATGGGAGAATAAAAATAAATCACCATTTATTCAAGTGACTTAAAGTGACTTATACAGGTAAGATTAGAGATGGGCACGCGCGTGACGCGCGGGATTTTTTTAGATCCCGCGCGGGATTTTTGATATGATCCCAAAATAAAATTATCTGGCTGGCATTTCATATCATCTGGCAGCATTAACATAATATCTGGCCTGCGTTAACATAATTAATAATTGAGCCACCCAAAAAAGTTTC